TTTTACAAAATTAAAATAACCTATTATAAAAAAAAATGTAATATTGATCGAGAATGCCTTCATATATCATCCTTTCTTATTCTGTTGTTTCTTAACGAGTAAGTTCACTTGCAAAAATTTCATCTGTGTTCCAACCAGATTCATCGATAGATACAACAGATATGCTTGACTCATTACTACCCCATACAAAATAATAGCTTGCAACAAGTGTCCATGTTAGTACATAAAATGCCTAAGATAATTTTTATTATTAATTTTACTTATATTGTGATATAAAAATGCTTTTCAATTTTTTACATTTTACAGAATTATATATTTCAATACAATAATAATATAAAAATAATAATTTAATAGAAAATAATTTCTAAGAAGATTCAGTTAGTTATATACAAATTATTTTACCTTGGCTATAATTTTACTTCGCGCATCCATATTAAATGTATATGTATATAATTGTATATATTTAAAATATACTTTCGTTAAAATCTTTTTTTAGATTTTCTTAAAATAATGTATTTTGTTTATTTTACCAAGCTGGACTTGAAATTTAACAGAATAGCGATTTTGTGTAATCTTTCAGTTTTTTTTTAATTTAACGATTCAGGATACATACATACTGTCAACATGATGAATGGTACAGATGTTTTGAAGCACGATGAAAGAAATAATGGTGTACTCTTGCACACATTTTGAACATAAGAAGAGCGGTATCCAGAAGCCGTGTTATTTGAAGTTGGTGTTATGTCATGATTTTATGTATGTAAAGTACTTATAAGGTGCATTCGGCAAGCGCTATTAATTTATCCTTCTGAGCTTCGATGAAAGAACTTAATTTATTGAAACCCACATTACTAAAAAAAAAAAGTTTTCTATTAAGATCCCTTTTCTCTTCTTTTCCTTTCTTAATCTTTCTTTCTCTCTCCTCCCTCTCCCTCCCCCCTCTCACTCAGTGCAAACTTTTATATGATACATGTGGAAAAGAAGCAGTTACCATAAATATGTAAAGTTGAATTAAATCAATACATACATTACTATGTAATATCTTAAATTTTTATTCGCACAGAGAACATTATTTCCTATACTTTAAATGAGCTATATTTACTTAAACAACATAATTATTAGCTTTTGTCATAAAATATAGCAACTGGAGAATAATAATCACATATATCGTTCAATTGTTACATAATGGAGAGCAATAGAGAGCAAAAATCTTTATTCTGCTCGAATAGTTGAACTGCGTTTTTTCTCTACTTTAATAGCTGATTACCCGATCAATTGCTGGAAGAAAAACTTGACTTGTAAAAAAAAACTTGATACACGATACAATTTTACTATTACACCATAACCGAAACATTTTTGCTCTCCATATTATACTCGTTAATTGCGAGGCTATTACATTCGATTATTCTAATATATACTGATTAATCTTTTAATTCAAGTTAAAAATACTCAGCGAATGTATATACGTAACATATACAGGATATTCCACTAGTACGATTAATATTAAACTAAGAATCTTATAGGATTTAATAATTAATATTTAATAAATTTTTTCTCTCTCTCTCTCTCTCTCTCTCTCTCTATCAATTTTTCTTCAATAAAAAATATTGATAAATATTTTTATTAGTTGATATATATATATATATATATATATATATATATATACAGTACTGAAATTTCGACTTAAAAAATGTTCAAAGTAAACAAAAAACATCTCTAATATAATCTATTTGAAACTAAATAAAGACGAAAACTCTTTATCTTACTTTTTTAATCTCTCAATTAAGAAAACATTCATTTTGAATCGCTTATAATTTAAAAGCTATTGATATTTTAGTATTTTTTTAAATTTAATATTAGGGCTTTAATTTATTTAAAAAAATCTATCATTTGAACGGTTTATTCTACAAAAGTGGGATATCTTGTATAATTAAATGACATGCCAGACATATACATTCTTTCGAGTTGTGGAATCACACACGTGACTGCATAAATCACAAAAATTTATTTTATTATGAGCAATCATTTCTCTAAATATAAATTATTATAAATCATTTACCAAGTAAAAATCAGATATAACGTCTTATATCTTTTTCTTAAATAAGTTAAGTAACATACAGGAATGTGTGGGACAAATGGAGAACAATTTGTAATACAAATTTAAATATTATAACATACAAAAAAAATATATACGAAAAAATGTATGATATCAGCACGGATATAAAAATTTACTAATGCAAAATGACTACGATGATAAATAAACACTTTTGGCACATCTATCATCAGTAACACAGAAAACATTTGTATGTATAATAAAATAATACGAAACTAACGTTCATGTGACTAAGAAGTAAACCTACCTAAGTATAACTTCCGATTTTTTCCAAATTTTAGTATAAATGTAGAACTATGAAAAATATTTTACCCATGTTTTTCAATTTTGATTATACATATCTTGTATTTAACTGTTTGTTACATTTTATTATTCTGTTTATAGCTAATAAGAAAGTAAAATTAAAAGTGAAAATAAAAGAGTAGCAACCTTAAAACCACTTATGGGCTAAAATGAAAAGACATAGGACAAAATATTTCTCCCAATTCTCACATTTATGTCAAATTTGAAAGAAATCAGAGATTTATGTTTGCTCGGATTTACTTATAGGTGACCTAAATGCCTTGCTCACAAAATTTCTAATATTTGTATAATTTAAAATCATACTTGCAAAAAATATATTTTTTCAATCGTTTAAAATTTAAATGAACTATTAGAAATGTGATAGGTTGGAAAAAATATATGCATATATACAAGATATGTCACATAATTCATATAAATATCTAAGAATTCTTGGAATCTATTTTTTTTTTCAGAGAAACTTAATCGATTAAAAACGATTTTAACTTAATATCAAGAAAAATAAGAAGGCTTCTCTCTTTTATTAAAATTTAATACACAACAAAAATGACATAACCAGTATATATGAAATATATTCATGATTAAAATTTGTTGATATGTGAAAACATGCCAATAATGAAGATTATTATATCCCTCTGCCATATCGCACGATAAGATAACAGTTAATTTATCAATACATACATATAGCTCTTTTTAGTATTAACGCATTATTTTTAACTCCAAAAAGTAAAATGATAGTAAAAAAATGAAATAGAATATTTCAGATTCTTAGATTATAATTAACGAAAAATGACTCACCCTACGTACGTATATTCATATGTGGCTTTATCAAGTCTATTATATAATTAAGTTTATAATGCTTTGTAATAAAAATTATAATATACCACATAAATGTATGTGTGTATAAAAATAGCGCTATTTCAAAACAATTAAATTTTATGTATGTATAGTTTATTTGACAGAGGAGAAGCTTATTTATAATATTATACATAAAAAGTATATCAAATTAATATATTACGATTTTCTCGCTTCTAACATGATGTTTTAAAAACAATGCGTTTTACAATTCAAATGCGAAATTATCGCGGAAGTATTTAATTTTTTGTTTGTTGAACTTACTTAACTAATTACTTGCGAAATAAAATTTTAATATTATATACGTCAAATGTTACATCATCTACAATTTTCTATTGTTACATTTGTTAATGTTTCATGACGTACAATGGACAAATGGGCCTATGAATAGCTAGACCCATAGAACAACATCATTTTCTATGACAGTCTTTAACTTTGGCATTATTAAAATGAATAACACAAATTCTTTTCTATACTGTCTTCAAAATATGTCCCACTCCATTTTACATACATATTTCATACAAACATAAGATATAACAAACACATACAACTTTTACGAATATATCTCAAACACTAAATAAAAACAGATTAAAATAGAAAAATGCCATTTAGTATTAAAGTTTAAGAAATTCCCTAGATTTCTTCTCAGATCATAACACATTTAAAATTACATATTTAAAATACAATTTGTATTCAATGTCTCAAATGTAATAAATGTCTTGTGAAATTATTAGGATATTTGAATCACAATTTGTATCAATGATATAGTTGAGATAAAATGAAGCTCATTTACTTATTCAAGCTACTGATCATTTAAACGATCATCGCTTACAATCATTCATACAAAACAAAAAGTTAGATTGCTCACCCAATTATAATTCCTAATCAAACAATACTAGCTGGAGTACTAGCTGGAGCGCTAACACCAATTGGCTGAGTATTTTCAACTAGTACGGACCTCGTGCTCGATGATGGAACTTGAATATCCACTGCTGTTGTTCTCATTTCGCCAAAAGGCGCCCTGAAATATAAACAATTATAATATTAATCTTTTTGGAAATGCTTTTTTTCAAGGACATAGCATTTATAAATAGGTGTAAGTCTACATTTAACTCATCGCTCCATACGTGTATATTGTTTCCCATCTATAACTTATCAAAAAGATACAATCATATCACACGTTAAGTTAACAATGCCTTACATAATTTACAATGTTAATACATACTCTATCAAAAGCATAACATAGCAGTATAAGAGTCATCA